GTGGTTGGCGAGGGCTTAAATTTTTTTTTTTTGGGGGGGGTTTGGTTCATTTGCTAACTGCTATCGTACATCCACGATCATGGATGTTGAGCTCCCAACCTTCCTGTTTGACCAGTCCTTTAACTACTAGACTATCAGGCCTGATTGATAATAGTATGATACCTCTTCCGAAATTTATCAATGTAGTGACCTAGTCCTTAGAACCTCGTTGCACCTTGTCTCACTAACGATAGAGGTGGAAAAGGTCTTTAGGTTCCCCCAAATTTACATCTAACAAAAAAAGAATGATTGTGTAAACACCAACCAACAGCATGCACGAGTATGATATAATACAAGACCAATAGTATTACTGTAATAATTTAAGTTAAAGCTGCCAAGACGCGATTTCAAACCCAAATCGCGGCAGTCGGACATCCCCTAATAATATGGTCTAGCATTCCAATGAGCTGACAGGGTCTACTCGTGCCAGGGTTGTGGCTGGCCGCCACAACCATGGGTACTCTTCCAGTGCCAGACAGCTCGACTGAACTTTGTGGCTCAACATCACTTAGTGGCTCAACATGGCATTGTGGCTCAACACCAATTCACTAGACTGTATAATTTGGTGGTAAAGTATCAGGTCCTGTTTCAAATATTCATAGCTCTTATGTCACGATCAATGATACTGGAGCGTTGTTTGAGCCAGTAAAGTGATGTTGAGCCACAAAGTTGCGTTGAGCTGTTGGGCACTCAGGAGGAGGGGTTGTGGCGGCTAGCCACAACCTTGGCACGAGTACTCGTACAATGCAAATCCTCGTAGGCTCTAACCGGGTCCTAAAAACAGGCAAAACCGGAAGTCAAAATGGTTAATGACAACACTGAAATTAGATAAGAAAAGATGATAGAGATATAGCTATTTATTGGGAGAATAAGCTAATTTTTTTTTTTTTTTTATAATTAAGTGTTGTATCATATGCGAAAGAAGTTCTAGAACAAAAGTGGCGAAAGTGAAATTAGGGACACACTATGGATACCCAGTATCATACTCAAGAATACTGTATAGCATATATGAGTACGGTACAACATAATAGGTCTGATTGCCGGGGGTATACTATCATTTCACTTTACTCAGTGGGTCAACGGGATTTCCGTTCCACCGGAGGACCCACCATTAGGCGCGATGTTGAACCCTAAGCATCCATTAGGCTATAATTTAATTCTCGTAACACAGAGTTATTAAGTTTCTACCGGAGAAGTGCTGAAGAAGTCAAGATTTAGTCCGGAATGTGAGAGTAGGTAGCATTTGGAGACTCTGAATCCTCTGGTTCTGGGAATGTGCTATCCGGTAGGGGACTTAGAGAGAGCACAGATTGGGGGCTTTGAGCAAATACTTTGTCAAGTAGCGTTAGAGACTAAATAAATGAATTGATTTATTGTCGACACAATACGACGAGAAGAAGGTCGGATAGGTATTGAGCCGGGTTACTTTCTTTCCAATTTGAAAGACGAGCTTTGGCGGTGACCATGTATGTAGGTTGTTCATGTTCGTCTGCTTTTTTTGTTCCTTTGCTTTGGGTTCCTCCTCAGACTAGATACGAGTGATGGGCTGAGACCGGGGTCAGAAGGAAATCAATGCCTGTTGAATAATACGTACGATATCGTACTTGTTGGAATAATATCAGAGGATTAAGTTCTGGTCTCCCGATCCGCCATAATCCATGGGTCACATTTATGGCTTCTGGATCCGATCCCCTACTCTCCACTGGGGCAGTAAATTATGCAAATAATTGAACACGGTTCAACTATATTCTTGAAAGTCAACCAACTATATCACACAACCGGCATGATAATATTATGAAAGGCGAATAAAGAGAAAGCAATGTCCGGTCCGCCCACCAAAACTAATACTGATAATTGCCCTCATATTCTAGCAGGTCTCCTTGCGCCGAAAGGTACAACTGATCGCTAGTTGAAAGGGATTGTTGAACGCCAATCCAATCAGGCTGTGCATTGGTATATGGAATCCCCTTCCTTTAGTCTCTGTTGGCGTTTATTTTCTCCTGGATATCACAGTTATTAACCTAAACGTGGCCATTCTCCTTACTGCCGTACTCTCTGCCCTTGACTGCAATTATTATAGCACTTGTCCCGCTGTGATCTACCCAAGTGGCCGGGATTTGTTAAAGTTTCGATACTGGCAATGGTTACTGGCGCCCTGGTAGCTGTCACGGCAGACACTCAGATCGCACTGGGTCGATTCTAAGAGTTATAGGAATATAGTTCGATGAATCCCTCGTAGACATTCCCATTTATAGGCTCTTCTTCCCCTCCCAATCGGGATCCTCCTCCCCCGCAGTTTTGGGGCCCACCCTCTAGGATTGTGTTGCTATCATACCTTTTTCAACTGTCATAATATCATACAAGTTCTGTATTGCACGACATTCCAGGGCAGTGGGGCAAAGGGAATCTATCAATAATAGGGTAAGCCACTTTCCCTGGAGCTTGCCTTATCATGCTCTGCGACTTGAAATAGAATTGGCAAGTGGGAATTAAGCCCTAACTCTATTTTTTTCACTGCTCTAGCCCCCCGAATAATGTACGACAGAGAACTCTCTCAACGAACCTAGAGTCATCATCTTTCAGGACCCTCCACCATCATCCTTCAGACTACTCCACTATCATCCTTCAGGACAGCACCACCATCATCAACAACCATCTCAACCATCAAAAAAAAAAATTAAATATCAAACCACAACCAAGAAAAATGGGAGGAAATTCTCTTGAGAAAAACGGATTCACCAAATCCCCAAATTATGTCACCGAAATTGGTATGACCCCGGAACAGTACCACGAGCTTAAAGTCTACATCAAGTCCATAATCCTTCCCGGGACTCCCGCTTTCGGGTGTACCCGTCTCGGTGACAAAGAGAGTAAGAAGGCTTACCACCAATGGTTCAATAACGCACTTGAGGAGATTGGGCCGAAACTTTTCCCACAAGGCGGTAAGGGGTTGGCTTGGCCAGAGGATTACGCTGGGTAGATATTTTCCTACTTCATTTCACTTGGATCCATTGTTGGGTTTTTCCAAGAGCTTTTGATGGGCTAATATTGTTGCATTATAATAGGATCTATATGGCTGTTCATGAGGTTGTGCAAATCTTGAGAATTGGCATTGGGGGGGCTTGCGGAGAGGCGGATAATTTTGAGGCGGATGAAGGGGAGACTGGAGGTTGCGATGAGATGGAGATGACCGAGGATGATGATGGGCTTTCCGAGGGAGAGTCCGCTGATGATACTGATCTCCAGGAAGATGGTGAGACCGTCGATGAGCAAATTGCACAGGGTGAGCACGAAGACCAGATGATGATGGGCGAGGACTATAGAAACAGGCTGGCTATGGAAGAAGGGGTGGAAGCCGATACCATCGGGTTGCTTGGCTTGACCAAGGTATATCCTTGAGTCCCCTAGCTTATGGTTTTCTGTATCTGTTGGAACTAACTTGAACAACCATTTACTCAAGCACGAGGTGTTTGCTCACTTCCCGAGTTTGGCTGAAGGATGTTTCGACTGGGATGAAGTTGTGGGCTCTATTAGCCCAGAGTCCGTAGGTCATCTTGCAAATTTGGACCAAACGAGGTCTATTATTTCGGAATGTTGAAGCTGAACTCTGGTGTACAGATTGCCCACCTTCTCTCGTTGGTTTCCTAACTTAGCATCGGGGATATCCCACTTAGGTTCGACACATGAGACGGATCTTCTTATGGCTTTGTTGATTACTTTCTGTTGGGTCCGAGTAGGTGGAGGGGGGTCGGTAACTGAGCCAGTCTAGTCTAGTATTATTATTCCGAATTCTTAAGGCTCAATTGAAACAAAATGTTAAACCTTTGTTTTTTTGTTTTGTTCCTACTGAATTCGCTTTTGGCTTTTATCATCCCTGGTTGGAGAGAGGTACGGTGATTCCAATACCGCTACCCAGATAACAGAGCACAACAGTATTTTGCCTGTAGATATCTAGACACAAAAAGAGACGGGGTGATTGTTGAAGGTGGCAAATGAAGTGCTAGTTGTGCTCAACTATTTAATACTTAGAAGAATTGAATTATAAAAGAATGGAATTATATATTGCATGTATAGAAATCGTGGCCCAGTTCTGGGAGGGCTGGTTAACCACTTTCTCCCCATAGTACTTGTGTTCCAAGAAAGTATTAGTATCTGTAATACTAGGTACCCCCGCAAACCGCTAGCACTAGCCCAAAACGCAAGGGAAGACAGTGCTACACCGTCAAGGAAGAAAGTTACTTGGCCGAAACGGTACTGGACAAATCCACAACCCCACAAACTCCTGCGACAACTGTCTACAATACAATCATGGGTCCTTGAGTCCCTAAGCTTAATTTCTCTGAGGATCATACACCGAGATTAGTGCTTCTTGAATTTGTTTCCCCGCTTGAAAGATTCACCAGAGGGACCGTACTAATGATATGAGACATTTTTCTAAGATATCTCATCACTACCCTCCACTAACCCTCGGAAGGGAGGAAGGAAGGAAGCCTTTTAACGTAAGTCTGTTGGTATTATATAGAGCTATAGCTGGCTGAAATTTAAGGGCCTGTTTGGAAAAAATGGAAGCATTCCGTTTGGCGACCATTTCCCATACAAAATGTCCATTTCGAAACGGAAGGAAAAGGAAGGACAAGCATTTTTGTATGAAAACGTTCGCTCAACGGAACGGTTTCATTTTTTCCCAAATAGGATTGTTCGTGGATAGTTTCATCATCACTTTTCAACTGCCGGCAATTAGACATTCTCATATACATACATAGCTAAGAAAAACCCTCACGCTCCTTCCCATTACTTTCCTATCACCGCTTTTCCCCTTGATAACTCTGACCACGCCGATTCTCTCTTCACCCCATCTTTTCTAGCCTCTCCGTTTCTGTTCCCTTCCCTTCTCATTTCCCCATCTCTTCCGTTCCCCATTCTACTACTATCCTCTCAGACTGACGAATCACTCTCCTATACCCATCGTGCGGGCTATAGAGGATTTCGGATATGTGAGGTTGGCTCTCAAAGTTTCTCGGATATGCCGCTATATGAGAGATAGTTGAGTGCCGGTGATTCGCAAACAATGAATGGTGGGAAGATAGGGGACAGTTGGGGATGTTGGAAATGTTCTGTAGAATGGCATTAGTCGAAACGGAAGGTTCACGGAGTGAGGTGAACAGAAGAGAAAAGAGAAGCATACGGCAATCATGATACACAACGACTCAAACCTGATGAGAGTTGTGTGGGGGAGTAAGGATTAACGAGGACAGCGGAAGGAAATGGAAGGAAGGAATGGGGGAATAAGAACAAAATAGGGAAAGAATTTCAACACTAGTAGTATGCCCTCGTATGTGATGATCCACGTATGCCATATCTGCACAAGGCTCTAGTGCGTAATTGCCCACTTATGTTCAACAGGGAACGGAGGGGAAGGGGTGCATGGTGTCTCATGATTTCCTGCCGAGCCGGTATCCTTTCCGGGCACTGAACAAACAAGTGGAATAAATGAGGCGAGTAGAAATCTCGATGTTTAAATTTGTGAATATGCCTTTGCTCGGGAGTCAAATTTCGGGCTTTATTTGCTCTAGTGCTCCGTACAAGGCAAGGATCCTCGAGGCCCAGCTGTCCCACAAGGCCAGAGGCCTCGCAGATTCGTGTTCGCCCAGCCGGGATTCGCGGTCTGCCGCTGCGTACAGAGAACGGTGTTTCCAGGAACAATATTGTCTTGATTGTGGTAGAAACTCCCAGCGAAGATCTTGGCGTGAAGATGCAGGAGGGATGGAGGTGAAATGTTGGCGACTGGTTAGTGTCCGCCCTAGTAATGTAGGAACTGCTACCGGTATCGGTGAGGTTTGAGCAAGAGAAACTAAATATTAGGTGGGCTAATTGATAGGCGAGGTCGGTGTCCCCTCCTGCGGGCTTTTTTTTGCTGTCGGAAGAGTGCTGCAACATCTGCCCCGGGGGAATGCGGGAGATGGGGGGTTGGGTGGATATCGGGACATCACTTTTAGGGATGATACTCGTGCACCCTGGGTGGGCACCGGATGGGTGGATGCCGCGGGAAGAGGAAGGGGTACACCAGTACCCGGGTGAAGAGCTTCATTTCCTGAAATTCGCTCGGGGAACGGTATGCTTGGGTTTGTAGTACTGTACTGGCGAGGGATCATGAGCTTATACCCCGCCTTTGCGAAAGTATCGATATTGTTATGATACTCCTGGTATGAGTATACATATCTCCGTGGACTACGATCACTGGGATGCCCCCTCGGTAGTCGGCGCAGTAGTTTGACAACCCCCCTAATAGCTCGCCGGAATCAAAAGTCTGTCCCGCCTGTCTCTCCCTATGTAGAAACAGGCTCTTCACCGAACCTTTTCTTGAAAGAATTGCACTTGCTTCTCATTTCGCCCCGACACTGCTAGAGACACTGGCCTTTAGGGGTGTTTGATCTTTGAGGGGATAACTACAGTATCAGCAAGCTTCTCTATCGCCAAGACTACCAGAAGAGAGTAATTGCGGAGTTGCCACTGGTAGTTATACCGCGGTGAGAGACAGCTTGATTTTGGCCGGTGGGGACCCTACAGCCCCCCATTGTCACTAATCGCCAGTGGGCTGCTAGATTTCGAGATTGATAAGTTGTGAGTTGCGTGTTGAGTGTGCCAGTGGGAGTTGTTGCGCCAAAGCATGCAGTGCAGTGCAGTACAGTGCTGTACAGTACAGTACATACTTGGCGAGAAGGGACCGCTCCCGCTCGAGTTTCCATACAATGCGCGAGTCTGGACAGCCACCACAAAGGTGCACGGTAGACCTGCTCTCTGGGGTTGCCAATTTTTTCGCTCCGCTGAACACTGACCAGTAGTAAGTGAATGAAGTTAGTCGCAATGGTTTTGCCATGTAGAAATCCCTTGCAAATTGCCAGTCTTGGCGGTGTTCCTGGGCTTTCCGTCCAGAACTCTGGGGCCCTGGGCCCAAAACCTTTATCATGGCTTCAGTGACCTGGCTTTCAATTGAGCAGATCCTCACAACAAGTTATACTTTCCGAAAAAAATCACTAGATTCTTCCACGGTTGTGGGGGTGGGGAGGGGCCTGTTGAGAATGGGCGTTTCATGTGGAGTCGACTTCTTTAGTTACCGAACCCGGACATCCTGCATGGTTCGGCGTTTGCTCATGGGTATCTGCTTGTACAAGTACCGGTAATATTCTGACTGGGGTTGGGGCGGTTGTGGGGGGGCACCCAGCAGCTGGTGCCGAACGTAGATTCGCTCTACAGTAATCTGGTTCTCGGGAAAAACAGGGATATTTCGATTAAACTATTATTGAACGCCACGGGTACCGGCATGGTGTTCTCTTTGCGCTATTGCAGGCTGCACTAGACTACCAATTACCCGTTCCAAAGCTTGGGAGGCACCAAGCCTCCGATAGTATGATAGATCGCATTGCGGTATGGGAACTTCGGTTACGCCTGCGAGGAACATGATACCCAGAAGAAACCTTGCTGTTTTCTCTTAGCTTCACACGGTCAAATCTACTCGTAGTCAGGAACCCTTGAATAAATGAACTCTGTATGAGTAGTTTTGAGCTACGAGACTCAGCCCACCTCCCTTCACACCCGGAAAACCGGCATACCACACAATGTCATACTCCTGGCTAACCGTTTCTCGACAGTGTCATTCACAAGTGCACACCATCACCAACTGCCACCATCACTTCAGCAATGCCCGGGACTTGTACAGTACTCGAACCGTGACCTCGTGAGAAAACGCTAAATGTCCTACCATATTGACCGCCAGAGGTTCACCGACGCTCAAGACCTATTTAATGAACGATAGATACACTCTGGCTATCTAGCCCACCGGGGGTAAATCAAGCGTGAGAGCGTGGGCTTGGCTCGCCAAATCCTGATTACTCGGCTAATTTCCTTACACGGAAATTGGGCGAGATGGCGCTGCCAATTATCAAGATGGGGAAGGGCAAGTTGGAAATAAAGAGTGAGGTTGAGAAGCGGAAGCGGGAGATAAGTGTTGATGAGGAGGAACTTGTTCCAGGCCAATGGCTAGGGAGCACTCTGAAGGACGAAACAAAAGCAGGAGTCATGTGGCGGTGGTGGTGATGAAGAAAGTAAGTAAAGGAATAGCAGGTAAATGACACCGAACCTAAGGCAGGTTCAAGAAGATTTATTAGCGGCCAAAAAACTCGATATCATGCCCCGAACACCGGCATGTGAGGACTCTATCACTGATACCAAGCCCTAGTAGGGGAGCTGGAAGAAAAGACGGTACAGTATCATAACTCGAGTAGGGAATTCGTGAATAGTGCCATTTTTTGGGTGACTTGGTTTGAGTGACTGTTTCGCTTTGGGGGGGGGGGCAAGGTGGACTTGTTTCTTTGTTTCTCACGCAATGGCTTCTGAATCAAACGGAATCACACACCTCCCTCTGGCACTCTTCAACCTCCCTCTATCACGAGTTTCCGCTGGTCTTCACAAGTCTATTTCCTCGGGGCAGTTACGCCTTTATCACAATAATCGGGTCCCCCGGAAAACATATTTACTCGACCTCACACCATGCGACGGAGGTGCATTTTGTCCCGGCCAAACAACCGATGCTAGGAGATATCCGGGAGCTGGGTTAAGGACCACACTATTAGGGACCATCCATCAATTCATCGATGCGCCCATCCACAATACGCCTAACTATATACATTCCTACCACACTACCATGTTGTAGCCCCAAACACCAACCCGGGATATGTGAGTTCTTGGTGGTGCTTGGAGAAAGTGGGGGAGGTCTTTTTCAAATACTGCACATCAATATTTTTTATGGTAAAATCAGGCCATGATAAAATCGCATTATTACTCAATCTATTATCAGCCAATCCACCCAGCTTGGGGTCGATATTATCTTATGCAAAACAAGTACAACCAACCGGGTGAACAAACAAGCTGGGTTAAAATCCCCCCCGTATTACCGAAATTCCCAGGAGAAAGAAAATAACTACTCAAGCCCACTTCCCAAGCACTCCCATAAGCACCATTCCAGATGCCAGGGCAAGCATAGCAAAGGCTGTCTTCCTAAGACCAGAGTTCTTAAGATTGCCATAGAGCCAATCAGAAGCCCACATCTCCACGAGCGCGACCCAGACAAGCACGCCAGCGCTCAACGCGTCAAGAGTTGCGAGCGCGATGATAGTGCCCTTGTCGTTGCCGTTGAACTCATTCCTGACGCCGATTCCTATGGCCATTCCAATGGGGGTGATGGCAGCGAAGGCCGCCGCCATTAGTAGCTTAGGGAGAAGTTTCGTGTCATCCGGGAGAGAGGCAATGCGTGCGCCCAGAGCCAGTCCTTCGAACATCTGATGGAAGATAATGACGATAAAGAGGGTTATGAAGCCGGAGTCTCCTGCTACGACGAGGGTTATCCCTATCACTGCGGTTTGTTAGCACGCTGCTGGCCAAGATGGAATAATGGGGGGGGGGTGTACAGATAGAGTGGAATATGATTCCCATTTCCATCACGGCAACACTTAGTTTATCCTCTTTTCCATCGTGCTCGCGTCCAGCTAGGACAGCAGTAGCTATGGTCTCGGGGTCTTTAGGATCGACAACGGAGGTAGCGGGGCTAGTGCCAATAGGATACCTACCGCGTCTTCGAGCAATGAAGCGCGTGCCAAGGTACTCCAATAAGAATGAGAGGAAAGTTCCAGCCATGGCGATTCCGGTAGCGGTACTTTCATAGCCCAAGTCTCCAACACATTCCGAACCAAAGAGCAGCTGAGCGTGGGTTAGTAAATGAACGTATGCGGTTGCGATGATAACCCCTGTACCGAATTGCTTGATGATGGTAAAGGTCATAGAAGTTGTGGACAGCTTCGTGAACTGCTTTAGGAAGATTGGACAGAAAACTGCGATTGACGAGGTTGCTAGAATGGTGAAGGTGGCCCCGATGCGGAGAGGGATGTTGTAGTTCCGGTTGATGCGGGCGCAGCTTGGGCCCGATACCGAGGAGCCACCAGTGCAGTGCTCTACGCCGGCGTGGAAGTGGCAATTTCCTCTGGCCTCCTCGCCTTCGGGCTCACTGTGCTCGCCTCCATGTTCGCCGCGCTTTGTGCTGTTGGTGGATAGAGCCTTGATCAGGAAATCCTTGCCGTCAGGCCCCATACAGAAGCTATTGATTTCATTAGCTAGGATCGGCGGGTGGATAAAGCTGATATAATCATACGTTTCTTCACCATGGGTATGGCAGTCAGGGTATGACCCTGGAATGGATGCGCCAGAAAATGCTGTTGCAACGGGTACAGTCGGAATTCTGTATTGTGGGGTGCAGTATCTACTCGTAGATAATCAGTCCGACCCGGTACCAAGCCTGGGCAAACAAGAAAGGAGAAAGCCGGAAACCTACTGAACGTTATCCCGAATTGTACAGCCTGCCATCCCAGTGATCACGGGTTCATAGCTGCCGTGTGAGCCGGTGGCATGAACATGGGTACCAGCACTGCTGGCCCCATGAGAAGCAGGCCTATTCTCACAGTGCCTTCACTCACTCACACCTCAAATCAGCAAACCAATTCTTCTCATGGTAGTATATATAAGGAAATACCAACTCAATATCACCATCCATATGACAGCTCCCCTGGGCCTGGGAAATACATGTTGCTGCAGCAACAAGCAAAACCGGATACCTCATTACAGGAGACTGCGCTCGTGTGAGCCTTTTCCTCACAACCGCCGACTCGACCCGGAAGGAAAAAATAATAAAGCACAAAAAAGCGTAGTTAAAAGAAGCAGGGGGAGCTGGTATGGAAGGGGGGGGGGTGGTTCTATGTACGTGCAATGTCTGCAAGGCCAGGGCTAGAGATTGCGAATTGGTGTCGATACTTGTCCTGCCTGGATTGTGATATGGTGAGGATTGACTGGTAGGGTGAAGTAGGGGGCTTTTGCGGCAGGTAAGGAAGGAGAAGGAAGCGGGGGTAGGGGGGGGGTTGGCTATTTCTGGGGAACGGGGGTTGAAAGTATTGTCGTTGCGAAAACGTATCCACCAAGGTACCTGGAACCCTTGTTTTCCACCTATCTCTCTCGGTCGTGTGTATTCGTGTATGGAATGACGATTTCTTGGGGTTGGACTCCCTGATTCCCCGCTGCCGTTGGAAACGACACTGTGTACGAGTACGGCGTTCTGCGATCGACAAGTTCTTTTTTTGCGCTCACATTGCGCTGTTCATAATGCCCTCATTGTGAAGCTCTACCCCTCAAAATTTGCCGTGGATGGGAGAACCGCAAAATGAAAAACCCTCCTGGTTATCGAGAACAGCTGATCCACCGGTTTCTCCCTTCCACTCTTGCCTGGCGGCGCTGGAGCCAAACATTACAGCTCTGTTTTTACCAGTCGCTGACCACAGTTAAGGAAAACCTTGCAAATTGAATCTCACGGCGGGGCGTTGAGAAATCCCCCATCAGATAATAGCCCACCAAGGTGCCCGGCCCTATGCCGGACTAAGTTTCGCCAAGACCGTGATCAGATTGTCCTTTCTGGTCTGAATGGAGGAGTTCTAATACTTTATTGAAAAAATAGGCCTCGGGTCAAAGACGATGACAGTTTCGGACGTACCAGATGGATTATTTCCTTTTTGGGATTCTTTGCTCTGTCGCCCAAGTATCATATAATATATCGTATATCATACAATTTCCTGTGCCCGGGTCGGGGTCTTTGGTTTGATTTGGGTCGTGATAGGAGTTGGGGGTCTAGCGCTGAGGGTAGCCGGGTTGGGATAAGCTTGGACAGTCCGATGGCCACGGAGGTTCTTTCCACCCCCCCCGACATTTCCCAACTTTTCCGCTCCCCGACCTTGACAGCGTCCACCGTGCTCACGGATTTCTAAGCACGGTTTTTCAGACACCCGGTTTTTACAGTAGGAGAGTTGCTCTCGCAATCGAAATTTTGAGCTAGTTTTAATATTTAACGCTTTAATATTGTTGAGTTAATGGCGATCCGGTGTACTTATACAAGTGGTAGCCCCCCGCTCTCTTGGCACCGTACTTTTGCGTCTACCCAAAGGATCTACTTGGGTTGAATTGATCTTGGTATCATGTGCTCTATTATCGTGTGGAGTCCGGTGGTGTGGGTTCCCATGAGTGGGATTTTTTTTTTTTTAATTTATATCTTGGATAAAGCGCTGGGGGTTCTGGTTGTGGCGCTTACCTTCAACTCTCTAGTCCAGGCAAGGGGATTTGACGGCAGACTTTGGGAAGTTCTGGATCTTGCATTTTTCAGGTGTTTTCTGCGATAGAGTTTTTCCTCCTGCTACTTGCTACTTTAGCTTCTTGCCTCGGAGATAATTGATCTGGTAACACCAATAGTCTTATTGGAGGATAATGCAGGTGTTATTTCTTGGATTGCATGGGTGTTGGATATTCGGAGTGAAGCGCTACGGACGGGAGGGCAAGCAACCATCTGTTGCAAGGAACGTTGCATTAGAAATCATGTGAAAATGTGATATGATAGGATCTGGAGATTCTCGGTGATCCTAATGTTTAGAAAGAGCTATCCAGAATTAGTACCAAAAGGCGTTAATCCAATGGAGCTACACTTGCAATTTGTCAGGAAAAGTCGGACCCTTAGAGAGCTGATCTGGTTTTCAGAGGCTTCAAGCGCGCCTCTACCAACCATCAACAGCTTTTGCAAAATATAACCTTCCCTAGCCAGTTCGAGACTTACCGGAGGCAGTGGTCGCTGGTGGCCTTTAGAATGCGATATCCATCGAGCGTAGTTTAACGAGGATTCTCATGAAATATTAGCATATGACGTTTCAACTACCTTCCTCACAATCCCGTGGTAAAATGGGTACATCAGTCAAAAAGTTTTAATTGGGTAAAACAGTGTCGTAAAGGTACCCGAATGGTATGGTCACTTGCGGACGAGTGACCTTTCATGATGCTTTATCGACAAGCAATAGTGCAAAAGGATAGAATTAGCCAGCTCTCACAAGGGGAATGTGGTGATAAAAGACGGTATGTTTTTTTTGTCTAATGGAAGGGGGGCTCAGAAGGACGGTGGCCTTTGACGCGTGGCCCACATAAACCTACAAAAATCTACCCCCCTATTTTTTCAACCCCCGCGCTCTCTCGCTTTTGTCAACATCTACTAGCAAACTTCATCCCTTCTCAAAACAACAAATTTCTACAAAATCCCGTCCCCAAGGAGTTAAAAATTAAAATTGAGAAGAGATCACTCCTCCACCAAGACAGTCAGATACTCCTTCTCTACAAGTTATGGGTTCAATCAACCTCTCTGCAGCACCTGACCTGTCATTTCCGTTGCCTGGCAGCCGTACCGTCGTTGAGCCTGGCCAGGTGAACGATGTCACCGTTAAGAAAATTCTTTCCAGAGACGAGTGCCGATTGGCTAAAATGGCTTTGGAGGCAAGAAACGCCAATCGTGATTTGACCGCTAGAATCAAAATGGATTCTGCCTTTATGCAGTTCAAGGATTCGGAGATAAACGTTCTCAGGGTGAAGGTGGAGAGCTTGGAGTATGAAAACAAACAATTGAAAAGGGTGATAGAGGCCTTGGAGGCCGGGAGAAAGAAAGAAGAGGGAGGGAAAAAGCGCAGTGGCAGAGAGAGTCGCGAAGATGTCGCTTTTCTATCTAAGTGTGTGGGGGGGATTGACAACCTGGACGAAGTGTCTGATGCGTCTGAGTCACTTCTCTCGGGATTTCCAAGTGACCCGGAAGCTGCGAAAACTTTCGTCCCAAGGGATTTGGGTCCCATGTTGGGTTTGTCAACTGGTTTGGATATCCGTGATCAGTCTGGAAATTGGGGTAAGATCAATCCCTGTTGCGTAGCCATACAAAATTTTTGACATTTTTAGTGGCCAAACGTCTCCAAGTACGAAAGTCCTCCAATATAGTAATAGACGATGATTCCTTGGCTGGAAATCCTGTGCAAAATCGCCCAGCAAAAGCCAGGTGCACTACCGAACCTGCGAGACACGGCAGTACGGGCGGAGGCCATGTCCCCTGGAACCAGGCCAAGAATCCGGGGAGTCAGGATCTGGGAACAACTGAGGCAGGAATGACAAGGGTTTCTGGTATCAACGGCTCAGCTCCCCCGAATGTTGCAAGCGATGTGCAGATGATAAGTACGTTTGACACTCACATCTCTCTAGATCTCGAGCGTTCTAACATTTAATTTTTCAGCAGGCCGGTCGACAAGCATCCTTGGGGGCCCGGGTGGCAATCCCACTGGAGTCATCAAAGGCCAGCAGGATTTAGAGACACGAAAGCAAGAGGTTTCTCTGAACTCGCCGGGGGAGCAGGCTCGACAGGTACAGATTAGAGAAGTTGGGAACGATACCGTCGCTACCAGAAAAGCCCCTAGCCCTAAGTCTACGCGGAATAGCATTCTCGAGCAAAGGCAGTTTGAGCTTTGCGAATCATTTCTCAAAGATGCCAAGAAATCCCAGACTCAATCATCCACTCCCGACCGCTCCCCACAGGATTCCTCTCACCTATCCCCTAAAGCCCCTACAGTGTCGGACGCTGTTCAGCTTGAAACCCAGGAAAATCAGGGTGGGGCTAAACTAACTAAGAATGAGAACGGGATAACCATCAGTCCAACTGAGGAAGCTCGCCTACCTTACAATTACGAGTACATTCGAGAAGTAGTGATTCAGAATCTCCCAGCAGATATAAACTATAATAGGCTCTTCTCTTGCATTCATGGGGGTGTAGTGGAGGCAGCCGTCATAAGCATGCCAACTCTGGAGGCTAGAATTATATTCATGGAACCGGAATCAGCCAGACGTTTCTATAAGGTCTTAGAACGAGAAGGTATTTGGGTGGCGAGGGAAGGTACTGGAAGCGGGATAGTGCGATGTGATTTGGGGAAATTTCTTTGGACTGCAAGGTCAGCCATTCCATCGCCGGAGATGATCGAAAATGTTTGGAAACATAAGAAAACCCGGTGTTTGGAGGTTAGAAACATCTCGGGCATGACAGTCGAGTCCATTGCGAATGATATTATGGGATACTTGAAGCCCGGGCCTACGCGAGGTGATGTTATAGAATCCACTATTGCGAGGAATTCCGATATAAATGGGCAATATATAGTGGTCATTAGGTTCACGGCCATTAGTTACGCTATCTCGGCTCAAAATAGGAT